CATCTGTAACTCCAGTTCTAGGAGAGTATGTTACCCTCTTCTGGCTTCTACCGGCACTGCATGCACATGGTACACACACACACACACACACATACACACACAACCACTCATATATATAAAATAAAACCAAATCTTTTTAGATTATGGATTAGCCTATAGAAAAATGTCTGCCATAAACAGAAAGGGGAAGATGAATAGGAATTTCACTTACACAACTAAGTAAAACATTGCTCTCTGAACAGATGAAGGTAGGTCTCTTCTGTATCCCAGAATCTAATCAATATTTATATGTATAGTTCAGCTATTATTTGGCTTAAAAGGGCTTATTGGGAAATGTTATCATTTTTACGATTTTCTACAGAGAAAATATTTTCCAGTTTCAAATAACCCTGGACTTTTGAATTACAACCTGTTTTTATGTTAAAAAAGAATATTGTAATGAACTATTAAAACAACAACAACAACAACAAAAGTTTTAAAGTTTTGCTTGCCAGGCAGTCGTGGCACACATCTTTAATCCCAGCACTCAGGAGGCAGAGCCAGGCAGAGCTCTGTGAGTTGGAGGCCAGCCTGGTCTATAGAGCAAGATCCAGGACAGGCACCAACACTACATGGAGAAACCCTGTCGTGAAAAACAAAAACAAACAGACAAACAAAAAAGTTAAACTTTTGAGTAGCAACCAACAAGGTAACTTCCATGTCAAGCGAACAATGTGCATGATCTAAGCTCAGACGTGGGTCCTGGTGGTGGACCACAGGGGAGACCTTCTGCAGGGTTTCTCCAGCAGGATTTTGAGACAGCTGGGGAGAAGCTCCTAGACCTGGTCTTGGGAGTTCTGTGAGCTCCATAGATTACTTTCACGGTTACTAGTTAATATGAACACTTCAACACATACGATAGAAGTAACACGGGACTGGGATGTGGCTCAGTGGGTAAAGCGCTTGCCATACAGGCATGAGGACCTGAGTTTGATCCCCAGCACCCACATAAAATATTTGGGTGTGCTGGTAAAGTTCTCGTTATACCAGTGCAGGGCGGGCTGAAACTGGCTAATTTCCAGAGCTCACTGGCCATCCAGCCTCCATCAGGGAGCTCCAGGCCAATAAGAACTCTGGTCTCAAAAACCAAGGTGGATAGGACCTGAAGAATGATATGAGGCTCACCTCTGTCCTCCATGTGCATGCACACATACATGTGCACGAACACACAGAAAGATAGAAACAATAACTTAACGAACCCTCTTCATTCATCCTCTACTCCTATATCTCCCCCGCCCCTTTCTGGTATAATTTACTTACTATAAAACTAACATTACCATTGAACAGCCCAATGAGATTTTGAAAATGTAATTACCCAGCTATACTTACAATCAAGTAACACTTTTGTTTTCTTTCTAGCGTTGAGTTCTTTTTTATTTAAAAAATTTTATTGCATTAATTTGGTGTGTGTGTGTGTGTGTGAGAGAGAGAGAGAGAGAGAGAGACAGAGAGAGAGACAGAGAGAGAGACAGAGAGAGAGAGAGAGAATACAAATGACATGTATATGTTTGGAGGTCCAAGGACAACTTGCAGGAGATGGTTCTCCCCCTTTACATGTGAGTCCCAGCGATAGAATTCAGGCTTGTTAGCAAGATGGCTGAGCCATCTCCCTTGCCCTACTTGAGTTCTGACACCTGCATACATTTGTTAGCCATCACACAATCTTACAGAACACATTTCAGCACCCCAAAGACTCCTTTCTGCTATAGACAGCTCTACCTCTCCAACTCCTCAGCCCTGGGAACAGCTGATGTGTTATCTTTCACCAAAGCTCTCTTTTCTAGAATGTCTGAGAAGTAGAATCACACAATTGTTAGGTAGCTTTTTGTGACTGGTGTGCTCAGACTCATCCAAGTTGCCCCACTCCCTTTTATTGGAGAGTTGATATGTGATTTACGAGTCTGTCCATCCATTCTCCCACTGAGAGACATTCGAGTTGTGTAAATTAATCTGGGCTATCAGTTTGACCGGAACCAAGATGGAAACTACTGGGCTCATCTGTGAGGGATTTTCTTGATCAGAGTATTTGACATGAGAAGGCCCACCTGAAATGTGAATGGCACCTCTGGTGGCAGCCCAGATAGAAGGAGGTCAGAGAGAAGCTTTTGCTTTTTGCCTTATTGTCCTCACATCTGCTAGAGAGTAGAGTTCATCTATCCTGCTCGCAAGTTTGTCTACTCTGTTTGCAAATTCTCCTATCTTGGTGCTGCTTCTACATCCCTTCTCTGATATCAGAATCCAGCTTCTTCAGGCTTCCAAGAAGGACTGAAGACCAGTGGCCCTCCAGGAATCCTCAAGGCCTTTAGCCCCAGCACCTGCAGCTTCTGGGTTCTCAGGCTCTCAATGTGCAGACAGACATTGTTGGACTGCCCACCTCTATCATTGTATCAGTTTGCTTCCTGGTGCTATGATAGAACACTCCAACCAAAAGCAACTTGGAAAGGAATAGAATGATTTGGCTTATACGTCTACATCACAGTCCATCATCTAGACAAGTCAGGGCAGGAATTCAAGCAGAGGCCATAGAGGAATGCTTCTTGCTGGCCTGTTCTTTAGGGCTCACTCAGCTTGTTTTTTATGTATCCCAGGACTATATGCCTATGGGTGGTACCACCTGAAGTGGGCTGGGCTCTTCCACATCAATCATTAATGAAGGATATGCCTCATAGACTTGCCTACAAGCTAATCTGATGGAGACATTTTCTCAAGTTAGATTCCTTATTCCCAGGTGACCCTAGCTTGTGACAAGTTGACAGTCTAATAAATCCCACTTTAATACATATTCATTCTCTCAGTTCCTCTAGAGAACCCCGATCAGTAGAAATTGTTTCCATTTGGGGGTGGGGATAGGAACAGCTGTTATCTAGTATTAATAAAATCATTTTTTCTAATCAAATCAGCCCTTCAGCGTTGGTTTCTGTTGCTTGCCCTGGTCAGACTGATCTTCCTCTAGAGCAGTGGTTCTCATCTTTCCTGATGTTGCGACCCTTTAATGCCCTTCCTCATGTTATGATGACCCCTAGCTATAAAATTATTTTGTTGTGCCGAGCGGTGGTGGCGCACGCCTTTAATCCCAGCACTCGGGAGGCAGAGGCAGGCGGATCTCTGTGAGTTCGAGGCCAGCCTGGTCTACCAAGTGAGTTCCAGGAAAGGCGCAAAGCTACACAAAGAAACCCTGTCTCGAAAAAAAACAAAACAAAACAAAAAATTATTTTGTTGCTTCCTCATAACTGTAATTTTGCTACTGTTATGAGTCATGATGTAAATATCTGATATGCAGGACATGCGATCCCTGGGAAAGGGTTGCTTGACTCCCAGAGGGGTCGGGACCCGCAGATTGAGAACTGCTGCTCAAGCTAGCCTGCCCCCAAATGTCATCGCCCGTGGAAAACAAGCAAGATCACTTTATCGCTTAAATCATTTTATCTTTGTCCATCAAACATCCACATCTGCACTAGTACAGCTTCCCGGGCTTCATTTTTATTTTATTTTTCCAAGGGATTGGGCAAGGAGCATCCTCAGGCCCCAAGCCACTCTTCTGCTCAGCAGTTGCCTTGGACAGTGTCCCCGAGCACTGTGGAGTGATGGGCAATGATTTACAAATTCAGCTCTCTTTAAGCTTCTACTCCAGAGGCCCCGGGGATGGTTCCTCAGAATTCGAGCATGACAGAGTTTAATGAGCCAAGTGCTTTAATTCCCTATCAGCCCGTTCCACTTTCATGCACTTATGTTGTCAAGGGGCAGGGGCAGAAGCCCTAACTGTACAGTACCTAGAATGCTGCTTCCCCCAAACTTCAGAACCACGTGGATTCTTTTTCGGCTGCTCAACGTGCCTTCCTGTCTTCCCTTAGAAGGGATTGCTTTTCAGGGCTCTATAATCCTTCTTTCTGCTTATGAGACTCTTCTCTATTATCCTCCCAGCTCACCAGCTAGACCTCTTTTGATGGCATCTTCTACCATGCGTACCCATCACAGTGTGGATGACTTTGATGGAATACAGTGCCAGAACCCATGGGTGCTGGAGGGCTACATATTGGGTCTGTGGACCATGGAAAGTTGCAATGAGGAGCTGTCTCTCTCCCACTTCTTCACTGATAGTGAAGAATTAACATATGGTGGTAGCCATCAAAGCATACCAATTACTAAAAGGACTGGCTGCAGATGTAGCTCAGTAGAAGAGAGTTTGCCTAACACGAGGTTCAGTATCTCCAACACCAAAAGAAAAGAAAAGGAAAAAAAAAAAGCAGTGGAATACAACACTTTTGTCCAGGTACTTCAAAGTGGGCAGAGCGTCCAGCCAATGGGACATTTGAGATTTAAGCTGGGAAAGAGAAAGATAAATGTGAACTGATTTGCTCCCAAGATCTCAGATGATTTCACCTTCTGGTCCACTGGGCCCATCACCAGTATCTTAGAAAGGTGGAGAAGTCCCTAAAGCTGGTGAATCTCGGCACCAGCAGTAGTGAACCACAATCTCTCAGGTTAGAGAGGTTTGGGCTAGTCTGGAACTGACTCGCCAGGGTTTGCCACAGAAATTCAAGGGAAATGACTCTGATCTTGCTAAACTCTGTACTGAAACTGCCGTCCCTCAGTGTGCTCAAAGAGGCAGCAGGGCAGGTGGCAGTCCATGACCCATCTGGGAAGTGGAATGAACCCTGGAAGGCCATAAAGATGCAAGCAACTCCCTGTGCCTTCCATTGATTCGTGGTCCCACCAAAACCTCAATGCAAAACAGAGACGGGCCCAGGCCTCGCTCCGGGTCTCCGGCAGGGGCCGCTGCATCCGGGGCGGGACACCAGGACGCCGATCACTCCGCCCCGCAGCCTCTCCTGCCTGCTCTATCCACACCGCCTTCTGCAGGTGCGTCTAGTGCCGGGCTCGGGGGTCCCGGCTTTGTCCCGGCTCTGCGCGCCCCACCCCGCGCATGCGCGGGCGGGCGCCGATAGGGAAGCCAGCGACTGGGTGGGTGGCGGGATGGGCGATGGGCGGGAGAGAAACCGAGGGAGAGCTGGGCCCCGGAAGGCGTTGACCTGGAGGAAGGGCACTTTGGCTAAGGTGACAGGGGCAGGCTGGAGTGGTAGTGGTGGGAGTGCAGAGAGGGGCGGATGGCGACACAGTCTGAAGGTAGAGCCGGAAGGATTTGATGATCATGGCAGCAGAGAAATTGGGAAAGGTTAAGGCCACGCCAGGAGCCGGAAGGATGGTGCCCCAAAGTTTTGCGAGTGGTGTGGGGGCTGGGACGGGGGTTAGGGACGCAGTTTTCTGCTCTGGGAAGATGGGAGATCAGGAGCAGTCAGCTGCAGACAGGTTGGAGGAAAGCCCCCAAGCGTCGGTGCTGGAAGCAGGGCACGCACATGGCCGGAGAGGTTGGGTCCTAGGCTGTACCCTTTTTTAGGTTTTCATGGCAGGTAGCCTTGACAGGAGCGGGTGTGAGTGGAGCCAGCCAGCGCCAAAGCCTGGGACTGGTGTATTGATCTCTTTTGTGAAGCTTTTGGTGTCCAGTGAATCTTGACCGACAGCCTGTGAACATTTCTGCCAGTACAGTTGCCATGTCGTCCGTCCCGTGACTTAAAACTGCATTTCAGTTGACAAGAGATAACTGTGTATATATTTCTGGGGTGCAATGGGGTGTTTTGATATATGCATGTATTATATATAGTAAGACTAAGCCAAGTGTCTAGCATCTCGATATTTTTTAGTGGTGAGAACCTTTGTAGTTTACTTGTTTCAAAATTTTGAAATGTGCATTACATCGGTATCAACTATGGTTACTGTGCTGTGCAATAGGCCAGGAAACTGTATTCTTTCTTGCTGAGAGTCCGTGCCCTTGACAAACATCTCCATGCCCCTACATTGTCCCCCCTCACCCAGCCTTTGGTAACCATCATCCGTTTTTTGTTTCTGTGAGTTTGACTTTTCTATACTCCACAGTGTATATACTTTCATATACTCCACAGTGTATATGCTTTTCTATACTCCACAGTGTATATGCTTTTATATACTCCACAGTGTAT